GGTCTTAGTAAACAGCCACAGGCAGGCGTGTGTGTGTGTGTGTGTGTGTGTGTGTGTGCGTGCACGCACACACCTACAGGTACATATGTGGTGCACCATGGTAGGCAGATCCTTCTGAGCCCCCCACAACTCTTCAGTGGCCTCTTTGTGCAGTGCAGATGCTGTTCCTGGAGGAACATGTCACGTTCACAGTTGTCATCTCACCGAGCAATGCACATATGTCCCCTTTCTCTTCCTATGTCCACAAGAAGCTGGTATTTTCAGCCTTTCCTCTTAATAGAGCAGGAGTTTTCAAACATTCTTTAGATGTTTCAGTGATCCTTTAACCTAAGCATCATGTAGAAACCCAGCACATAACACAAGAGGGAGTGGGGTGGCTCCTGAGGCAGGGATCAGAAAGAGAATGGATCTCCCACTGGGCCTCTTGCTTACCACTGGGTACCTCTGAGACCCACCCAAGAATGCTTGGGTTGTATAAGAACCTTCTTTGAGAACCACTGCAGCAGAAGACGTTTGGAAAGCCACTTGGTAGAGTCTCTTCTAGGACACCTTATCTGTCGTGTTGCTGGTATACCTGCTACTGCACAGGGCACACTGTCACAGGCTGTAGAGCCCCTGAATCCTATGCAGTGTTGATTGGCAGTACTTCCCAGTGTCTACTGAGGGGTAGCAGTGCGGTGGCTACGCAAATACCACACGCAATCTAACAACAATCCCTTTCTAACAACAAACAACCCCTTTCAGGTGTACCGAGGTGTGGCAGCATAATCACCCCAGCACACATGCACAGGCACACACTGTCCATGCCTTCAAAAGTATATTCGGCTTCAGGTATGGGTGATCAGAGGATTTGGAAGTATCCCAATGTCAGCTCATTTTTTTGGATCCCCTTAGCTCTACTTTCAGCTCTCCTCCCAGTGAGATTGTTAATTGACGGTGGGGAGGGAGCAGAGATTACATATGACACCTGCTGCTGGCCCTCTCACATGTGCCTTCAGGGTTATGTGCATTAGTGATGTGTTCAGTAAATATTTGAACTTAACTATCTCTATTTATACATATGCAAAGTTTACTCTTGTGTAAAGGGATCAAGGCTGAAAGTAGCTTTTGCCTGCAGAGTGAAAATGGCAATTGGAAGGTTAATAGATTGCATTTTGTTTGTGTTCTCTTTTCTTACGGCTTTGCTCAGATTGTAGTATTGGGAAATAAAATGGCATTAGGATTTCACAACTGTTTTAGAAGTCAGAATTAGCTGTTCTTGTGCTCAAAACAGAAAGCCAGATCACCAAGTCATCCTTGTGTTTCTGCAGCAATAATAGGGGTACAAGTTCTCATGACTGAGCAGTCCTGGAAAGAGAATGTGAACTGTGAGCAGTTGTCACAGACCCCAAAAATATGTCCATGCACCTGAGATTATGTTTGTGGATAAAACACAATATCCATGGCCTTGAGACTCTGACCACAGACACGAGAATGTGTCCATGCACCTGAGACTATGGTTATGGATAAGAAACTGTGTCTGTGGCCTTGAGATTATGACTGCAGACAGGAGGACATGTCCATGGACCCGTGACTACGTCTGTGAACCCAAGAATAGAGGCTGGGAAACTACTTAAAGCACAGACTTGTTCTCTAAACAAATGTTTCTAATGCAAGTCATCCTTTGCAAAAGTAAATTTTTGCCTTTATGAGTGGTTAAGTTTCTCTTTTTCATGTGACCAGTGACCTGACAATACAATTTAAGCCTCCAGGCTCCTTAGACTAGGAAGACCGGTGCAGGATGTGTGTCTGGCATAGACCAGCTGAATCGGGTGCTCGCTGTTCATGTATTCATTTTGCTTTGCTGGCAAGAACACTGACAAACACTAAAACTTCAACCTGTGCCTAAACTAGTGTCTCATTGAGAAAGAACTGAGTAAATGTTGGGAATTATTATTTTACTGGAAATCTATCTATCTGTATTTTATGCAATTTAATTGAAATTGCAAGTGTAATCCAAACTTCAAAATTACGAATCTTTCTCATTGACACATAAATAGGATCTGTAGTCAATTCAGCTGGACATTTGTTCTCTGACAATTGGCCTTTGTTCCTTCTTCCAATCAGACAAATACAATTATATTTAGTTCTGTAAACTGATGAAATGTCTAATTATATTAGGTATTGAGTCTACAAAAGTGGTTAGCACAATTCTTCACCATTTCTAAACTATAGAATTTTTCATGTGAATTTGGGAGATAAACTGATATTATGCTAGTTTTTCCTATTCTTCTGCCCAATCTCCACTCCACCCTTTTTTCCCCCCAGAGACAGAGTCTTTCCCTGTCACCCAGGCCGGAGTACAGTGGTACGATCTCAGCTCACTGCAGCCTCTGCCTCCTGGGTTCAAGTGATTCTCCTGCTTCAGCCTCCTGAGTAGCTGGGATTAGAGGTACCCACCAATACACCTGGCTAATTTTGCATTTTTAGTAGAGACAGTTTCACCATGTTGGCCAGACTGGTCTCGAACTTCTGGCCTCAAGTGATCCACCACTCCACTTTTTGAAAATGCAGACTTATCCTAAAGAAACACTGACACTCCGTTCTGCATAGTCCCTGTCCCGTACCACCAGCAAAGTGAGATCCATGGTGTCCTCCTTGGGGTAACTGGGGCCCCCCAAGGCAGGGTTTTCCACAGTCAATCCCAGCTCTATATACTATCAGCACTGGAGACAAAAGCAAAGCATAATTGACAGACAAAGCAGATCTTGAGCTTTGGGGTCAAGTTTTGAGAGATAACTCTACGATTCCTAAAACTAGAAGATTAAAAATTGATCTAAACTTCTGAGTTAATAAGGATCTGTCAAGTGCATTCCGTTCTTATTGGAATTCTGTACATGCTTCTAAAAAATGCAGATGTAAAACACTTTGTGGCTGATCAGTTTGCTCTTTAAATGATTATTCCAGTGACATTTGCATCATTGCCTAGCAATGTAAAAAAGAATATTTCATCCCTGCTCTGAAGGGGTAGAGAGCAAATAATCAAATACTGAGTGTCAGGAAGCATCCCACTCTGTGGCAAGCACGTGTTTTCAGATATCACTTTGGTCCTCACACATTGGTTCTGCGCAGTCTGGTTGCTACAGCAGATTGTTCATGAGGACAAGCCAGTTCCGAGAAGCGTAGGTGAGGTGCCCAAAGTCCCACAGGGAGCAGGTGACAGAGCCAGCACTTGCACAGCTCTTTGTCTATTACATTTAAAAAAATTAAATTATGGATGTCTTCACTCAGGACTTAGCTTTCTAGATATCTCTATTGATGTGTGACTTCCTAATGGCATTACACTTGAATCTTAGATTTCTCTAAATAATCCAATTTCTTAGAGCAGAACTGACTGACTCCTGCTCATTCCCCAGAAGAACTACCTGTGCATTTTAGAAAAAAACTAAAGCAAATGAGGATTAGTTTGGGTGTAGACATTATAATATGAGAAGGGCTATAGAGGCAGCAAAAGCACCAGGCGAGGGTGGATGCCTGGGGCTGCTCAGGGGAGCAAGGCCTGGCTTGTCAAGGTGAGAGCAGAGAGTGAGGTGGAAGAGGGCAGGCTCAGAATAGCAGGGACAGAGGGACTGAAGAGAAGAGCCCACTGTGGCCTCTGAGCAAGGCCTGGCTTGTCAAGGTGAGAGCAGAGAGTGAGGTGGAAGAGGGCAGGCTCAGAATAGCAGGGACAGAGGGACTGAAGAGAAGAGCCCACTGTGGCCTCTGAGCAAGGCCTGGCTTGTCAAGGTGAGAGCAGAGAGTGAGGTGGAAGAGGGCAGGCTCAGAATAGCAGGGAGGACAGAGGGACTGAAGAGAAGAGCCCACTGTGGCCTCTGAGCAAGGCCTGGCTTGTCAAGGTGAGAGCAGAGAGTGAGGTGGAAGAGGGCAGGCTCAGAATAGCAGGGGCAGAGGGACTGAAGAGAAGAGCCCACTGTGGCCTCTGAGCAGGTCTTCCTTGCTTCTATCACAGCAGATATGGGTTGGAATAACAACATTTTTGATACTCTAGTAGTGGAGGAGATGGCATAGACCTCAAACCTGCGCATACATGGGAGGCGATCGGCCATCGCTAACAGCTCTACCATCCCTACACTGTCTGGGGGGCAGAGTCCTGGCAAGGAGACAAAAGTTACAGAGCCAATCCAGCAGACCTTTTAGGTCTACCAACATCTCATCTCAACATATACTTCCCTGCTGGAATATTGTGGGAAGGTTCTACATGAGGGTCAATTTCACATCAGTTGTTCCTTCCTTTGTTAAGGTGGAGGCTGCTTTTCTCACGACCACTGTAGTATTGATCAGACCTTATCTGTTCCTCAAACAGGCATGGATAAGGCCCCTCAGAGTTTCCCTTAAAATAATGCAGAATCTTTGTTGTATGGTTTTTGTATATTTGGGTAATAGTCACACAACCAAATCCAAATTTTAAGGAACAGCAAGAATTACCGTTGTAGAATAAAATGAGCAGTAATTTAAATTTTTACTAAATCACCATGAATTCTTGTAAGAATTAAAAAAAATCGACATGAAGTTCTCAAATTAAGGGCTTATTCTAAAGTGATTCAACTGGCAAAGAATAATAGAACTTCAGCCTGTACATAATTTTCAAGAAGTGGAAGGACAGATTTAATCAGAGCTTACACTAATAGCTGAAGAGCCACTAAAATTATTCTAACAAGATACAAAACAGGTATGGCAATTATTACAGCTCTGGGATAAAATGAATTTCTATTTACAATAATACTTGGCCAAAAAATAAAACAAAATAAAAGAAAGAAGAAAAAATATAGAGGAAGAAGAAGCAATGGATTAGATACATCAAGAGAGAAAATTGATGCTCTGAATTGCACTGGGATATTTTGGGAGGATAGCAAAGGTTTGCACTGAGAATAGCCTGATGAACTGTACGCTAAGGCAAGTGAGCTGTCCCTGACCCAGCCCTTCCAACAACTGCTGGGACCCACCGCCCACCCGTTTCTCACCATCCTCTTTGGTCCGGGTGAAGATCTGCTCACTCCTGACCCCATCTCCTGCGCGGGTGAAGGCCAACACCTGGATGCTGTAGTTGGTGTACTTTTCCAGCCCGTCCAGCTCCAGGGAAGGTTGTGTGGTGGTGATGTTTTTAATCTCACCCAGCTCTGGAGCACAAGGAAAAGAAAACAAAATTCCACTACTGAGCCCATTTCTGCGTGTTTTTCAGCACCGTTCCCACGACCGCCCTGTGCCATGCCATCACCCATCCAGCCATCATCTGGACGCTGGAATTCCTCAAAGGGACTGTGCACAGTCATCCTTTGAGCTCATGGTGTCATGTGGCCCTTCGAAAAGGATCATTTACACCAAACTGCTCCAGAACACGAGGCAGAACATTGGTCTGGAAAATGAAGCAATTTGCTCCAAGTTAAGTGTTATCAACCCAAGGCCAGCACCAGGGCTGCCACTCAGCCTTCAGCAGGTGCTAATGAGCAATGTCCCCTGCACCCCGCAGCAGCACACTTAGGACCACACACAGGCACTGCACCATGCACTCTACAGCTCCACTGCTAACTATTCACTAGGAAGCTTCTGCAGGCTGAGGGGTTTTATTTTTATTTTACACAAACTCTACTTTAACATACATGTATTTTTAAGCACCTAACTTCATCTCAAATATCTGATCTACTCTCTTTAGCAAGTTTCAAGTTTATAAGACAGTATTTTTAACTGTAGTCACCACTTTGTACATTAGAGCTCCAGAACTTATTCATCTTGCATAACTGAAACTTCCTGTCATTTGGGGGTAGGGGAAGAAAATGGCAACTATGTGAGAAGGTGGACTTGTTGTGAATTGCATTGATTGTGGTGAGCATCTCACATTGGATACAAACGTCCAAATAAGCTGCATGCCTGAAATACACACAATTTTTATTTGTCCATTATACCTTAATAAAGCTGAGAAGACAACATATTTAAATTGAAAAAAAAAATACACCTGAGCTAAACTGAGTGGCTCAGCAAACCCCTCATTTACCTGGAGCGAACTCCTCTCAGCTTCAATCCTAAAGTGACATGCCCATGCGTCAGAAATTTGGTGTCAGCTAAAAATGCTTCGCTTTCAGGAGTGGGATCCACTAATAATATTCACAGATAGAACACTATGCACTGTCATCTCTGGCATATTATATGCGGCAATTCAAGAAAACTTACAAGTGATGTGCAAAGTACTTCCATGGTGTTCGGCTGATGGCTTTTGAAATGAGTCACCTTCAGAGCATGAGACGGGCCTGAGAACTGTTCCCCTAGGGGAAGGGGCTGTCAGTGGCCCGTCGGTACCCAGAGCAGGCCGGTTACCCCAAGAGACCAGCAGGTCCGGGAGTTCCTTGTTGAACAGATCTGCTTTGGCTGCATTTGGAGAGCAATCCCAGCTGCCTGTCAGTCCCTCTCACTGTCCCTTGCCTCCGTACAGGGAGTGGACGTGGCGTGGCTGCCTCCCTTCATGCCTGCACGATGCTGTTCTAAGTACAGACAGTAACTTATGCAACCAGCAGTGCCATTCAATAACTTCTGCAACCCATTCATTTTACACACAAGGAAGTCAAGGGACAGAGAGGATCAAGGAGCTCAGCACAGTGGCTGAGGGCACGGGCTGTGGATCTCAGCTGCTCTCCTCGGTCACGCTGGGAAAAAGCAGAAACTGGGCTGAAAATGGAGGCACCCACGAGCTGTCGGGTTGGTTGGAGTAAACGGGCTTTTGCTTTTTGCCTGCCTGGTTTTTCCTTCCTGTTTGCTGTTTTTACTTTCTCGTGTGTCCAGGACATTGCACAGAATTCTGAATGCATAGCCACGTATTTTGTGATTATGATGACTGTGGAATGTCTTTTGTTCAATTTAATTTTTTTGTTACCCAAAGGATCAATGTGGCATGGATACAGCATTAAAGAAGAATGGCAAATACAGCATGGGATGGCTGAGCCTGTCCTTCACATGCCGGAGAGCCCCTGTGCCTTCTGGGAGTTGCAGGAAGAGGGGTAAAGAGGCTCCATGTGGCACCCACAGTCCAGGTCCCAGTGGGAGCCGAAGGCCTGGGGCCACCAGAAGCAGACAGTTCTATAGGCTGGGGCTTTGCTGAGGAGGGAGCAGGATGAGAAGGATGGCCCGAAGACATGCCTTTGGACTCCTGTCTTCTAAAATCGCCAGCAGGGTGCCAGCTGTTAGAGGTTACAATTTGGAAATCTCAACAGAGGGCTTATGAAAATAAGAAAAATGTCTGCTCATGGGTGTGGTCACCATGCAGTCAAAATATCAATATTTGGTTGCTCCAGATGGGTTGGAAATTCTCATCTCTGAAAAAAAGATCTTTCCAAATTCAATTATTTTCCTTTTCCTGAATATATTTAATATAAGTATTTTAGATTAGGATAAAAAACCTAAATGTAACCAGACATGGTGGCTCATGCCTGTGGTCCTAGCTACTTGGGAGGCCAAGGTGGGAGGATCGTGGGTGCCCAGGAGCTGGAGGCTGCAGTGAGCCCTGATTGCGCCACTGCACTCTAGCCTCAATGACAGAGCCAGACCCTGTCTTTAAACTAATTAAAAGTCCAAATGCTAATGGACAAACTTTAAATGTAGAACTCATTAAGATCTTTTCAGATTTAGAAACTTCACTGTGTCAAACACACACACACACACACACACACACACACACACAGCCCGCTACACATATATACGAACAAAATTAATAAAAAGACAGCTGAGGGGAGGGGCTGGCTAGGGCAGGGTGCTGGAAGTGGGTATGAGACTTTGATGAAGGTCTGTTTTTCCCAAGAGTACAGGGTGTCTGCCTCACAGAGAAAGCAGGATCGTGTCACAGTGTGGGAGAAAGTAGCCCTCCAGCCATGCTACTCTTGAATCAGACAGAATGAGGAGGAGGAGCCTGGTGAAGAGGGAAAAGGGCAACCTGGCCTCTCTGATCTTAAAAGAGCAAACACTTAAAAATGATTAAAAATGCTAATGGTTAATATGCTGATTAGAATTAACATTTGGATGTTTACTCATTTCGAAGTTCAAGTCATTTTGATTAACTGATTTATCATGAACCATGAACACGATGGCAGTCAAAACCCCAATTCCAAATTGTTCCCAAAGATTTCTAAAACTACCTGAGCCAGAGTTGATTCTTTCCACCAGAACATTTACAGACGCTGATGGAAGGGTGTTTTCCTGACTACAGATACTGGGTAACTAGCAGATATGGAAGAAATAAAAAGAGAAGGATGAAAATAAAAGAAGGCCAGATACAAAACTGAGTGTTTAGTTTGCCATTCTTTTTAGCTCTTTTTCTTTTTAAACGTGAATTTCTATAGTCTCACTTTCATGCTCCTATATGGCTGTTTAATACACACACACACACACACAAAAACACACACGTTAACTAAAGTGTATTGTTCAGTTGAGGTCATGAGTGAAACACAATTTAAAAGAATATTTAAAATTAATTTAGACATCCGATTTTTTTTCTATCACAAACTTCGTTTTAAACAAAATAGTTTTGTGTATTTATTTATATCCTGCCTCATTATGAAAGGAGTTTAAGGCAGAGAACAAAATAGGTATGGGAATAGCTTCTGAAGCGACCCCCAGCTGCCCACACACTCCAGTTGGGACCTAACTGTTGCTTCCTTTCAGAATTTACCATTTTTGCAGTGAAGAAAGACCGATGAGATGGAAGGTAGCAACAATTCAGAGGAAGAAGGTAACTTTCAAAGGATACAATGTTGCCAGCAGTCTCAAACAAACTGTTTCTGTCAGGTCTTAATAATTCAACTTCCTGATCATGAGAAAAGAGATCAGAAAATTCACCAAAATATTTTATTTCATCTGATCACATTAACAAGAGAATTCTTTCTTGGACATATTTTGGAAAGTACTGGGGTCATTGCTAATTACAGGAGGAGTAACAATATTTGACTCTCTCAGTCTTTGTCACTCCCTGCTCAACGCCTTTGGGAGGCCACAGTCTGAGGAGTTTGCACAAGAGTGTCCAGTACTCCCGCAAATAAACGTGCTTTGTAGAGGATATTCCCGGGTGGCAGGAAGAGCGACCTTTCACAGGCAGGTCCGTGTTTCTGAAGGTTTCTTGCTTATCTTTTGGAAATTAAGTGCAGAACTTCTACACTGTACATTAATCTCAACACTTTGACTAATGCCACGAGTGAAGGTATCTTTAGAAAGCTATATGCACGCCTGAGCATTTCTTTTTTTAAAGAAGTGTGTTTTTGAATATCCAAGTTTTCAAAGCTTTAAAGGTATGAAGGACTCTCATTTTAGACAGAAGATGCCAGCAGACAATGTCGGCAAACGTGAGTGATCTTAGAAAATATGGGTGATGTGGTCATGTGAAGTCACCCCTGGATTCTGGAAATACTTCCGACAAGAACAACAGAAGAGACGATCTCAGTGTAACACTAACTGTCGAAGAAGAATGTTTAGGGCGTTTAATTTCAACTACTCAATATGAGGAGTGGAAATCAGAACAAAAGTATGTAATGATATCCTATGGTATTTTGTCAACAAAATTAGATAACTTTTGCAAATTTTTGTTGTTCTCTACTCTGCGGTGTTTTAAAAGCTTGTCTTTGGGTGGGAGGGGGAAGGTGTGACAGAATCATCTACTAAGATCTGCCCTTCTGTGGGGCTGTCCCTTCTTGGGTCTGTGGTTCTGAATTCATTAACATCTCCCTGAGTCCCTGGTCTAGAACCTTGATGGGGACAGACCCAGCAAGCTTGGTGTTTTCCATGCAAAAGTGTCTGCTACAGGACCAAGGGGTCTTTCTAGATCGCCTCCCACGGCTGGGTACTGCTCCAGGTACTACGTGCGACGTCGAAGGCATCAGGTCTGGCCTCAGTCCTGAGAAACACATCCAGTTAGGGACATGCAGAGCTAAGGCCCAAAGGCTTGCACCACGTACTCAGCAATGCTTCTGCTGCTCATGTGCCTTCTTGCTTTTATTGTTGCACAAACTGTGGAGGCTTCTGCCACCTGGGGTACCCTGTGTTTACCTGCATGGGGACAGGAGCCTGCTTGGTAGAACAGATTCAGGTGGTCTTGAGCAGGGAAGGGATGGGCCCTTGACTGCATTTGCCCAAAATTGGAGGTGGGCACTCATCAGGGGTCACACCCAGTCGGAGGGGTTAAAAGAAGCCCCAGGCTGGGGGTGGTGGCTCACACCTGTCATCCTGGCACTTTGGGAGGTAGAGGCAGGCAGATCACTTGAGGCCAGGAGTTCAAGACCATCCTGGCCAACATGGGGAAACCCCATCTTTACTAAAAATACTGAAAATTAGCCAGGTGTGGTGGTGCATACCTACAATCTCAGCTACTTGGGAGGCTGAGGCAGGAGAATTGCTTGAGCCCCGGAGGGGGAGGTTGCAGTGAGCTGAGATCATGCCACTGCACTCCAGCCTGGGCAAAAAGAGGGAAACCTTGTCTCAAATAAAGATAAGAAGCCCCAACCACAATGGGAGGCACTGTCCAGGGGCAGAAGGCACAGAAGGGGGTTGGAAATGGAGGGCAGGGGAGGAGGCAGGTGTGGGCCTCCTAGGCTTGGGACAGAGACAGTGATCAGACTTCCAGAGGCCTTTCCTGCTGGGGCTGCAGCCTCACTCTGCCCCTAGCACACTCATGCAGCCCGGCCCAGCCTGGTGGACACCACTCGCAGCCTGAGGGCAAAGATACTGAGGTGTCGCTTCCAGAAACTTGTGGCGCCAATCTTCTGGCCACTTGAGAAAGTCACTTATTCAAAGTCTTGCCCAAGAACAGGAAAATCTGTCCTACAACCTGCAAAACACACACACACACACACACACACACACACACACACACACACACACACACACACACACACACACACACACACGATAAAGAACAGGGAAAAGAGGGAGGAGGAGAAGGGGAGGGAAGGGGAGAAAGAGAAACCGGTGACAAAACCTTCCCGGCCCTTCCCGAGAGCTCCCCTCCTGTGCCCGGGGACTCTTCCTCCATCCACTTACAGCCCAACTACAGGAATGTCAACGCTTCCCCACCCAGTTTTATCTGGGAAATGGGAAGAGGCCAACGTTTAAGGATACGTATCACACAGAATGTTCCAGATAGAGACAGAGGTCTTGGTGCTGCTGCCTGCAGAACCTTGACATAGACACTCATAATTAGGAAAATACATCCATGTTGAAATTTCCCAGGTGTCCTCCACCCCCTATAGGCTTCAAGTTGGGTGTAGAAGATGTGTGATGTTTTAAACAGAGAGACCTGTTCACATGTCCGATGAGAGATGACAGAAAAGGGGAGAGTGTCCATTGATACAGAGGTGCTTGCCATGTCCTCAGCCCCTTGTTAGGATGGGTCTGCAAATTCCATCACGCATTTTCTGGAGGCAAACTCAAAGTGCCAGTTTAATCCTCTTACCTCCATCCATGAGGTTGGCCCAGTAAATGACTCTGAACCCCTGGAGAATTCCATTCAAGGCTTCCTTGGAAAGTGTGGACCAGGATATTGATATGCTTTCTGGTGATGTTGCTATGGCTTGGACATTTTCGGGGGGGTAACTGGGCACTGAAATCAAATAATTAGAATCTGTAGTAACTGTGGGTGGTTTATTAGCAAAGCAATACTGAGAAAGCAATTGATTTTAATATTTCACTGTGCAAGCAAGAAAAGTTGCACTCAACCCCCAAATGAAAAAAAAATAACAAAGGTCACTTCTCTGTATAAATATTATGATGACTCCATAAAGTCTAATGAGTCAATGCATATGTTCTCACGGATCCATAGTCTCTCTTTCCAACTTAGCTTCTTTATTTTTAGGGCAGTTGTTAGGACTTGACTTGTGTACATTTCTTAATTTTAATGCCTGAGAAGATGATTGTCTGACTTATCTTCCCCTTCCCCTTGCAAGTTACTTCTGTAAGTTGTATTTACTTTATAGAGCACAATGCCTTTGTGTAATATCTGGCATATACATTTGAAGCTCAACTATTGTAAAGCACTCAAAAGAAGAAATATCATCACAGATTTCCCCTGCTTTATCCTCATCCCTTTCCTCAGAGGGAAGAGAGGTCATAGACAGAGACAGATCAGAAGAATATTTAAAGTATTTTGAGTACTGAGGCTATCTATGTAGATTAAACCTTAAATACTGGAGCTAGGAGGGGGTGCAAAATATTGACTGAAACACTCATCTTCATAAAAAATGAGTATTAAGCAAAAACAAAGGCATATTTAACGACTATTGAAGACTATGAAGATACACAATTCCTGCGTTCAAGGTGCAATTCATTAAAGACTCCTCTCCTTGCAGAAATTGTCAGATGTTACAGGAGCAAGTCATCTTTGCCTCCTCAAGTCTATGATCAAATAGCTAACTGCACAAGAGGTAAACGCAGCGCCAGCTTGCCGCCTTCACAGCTACCACTATTGCTACAAATAACCCCGTATCTTATCTTTCTGCCTAAAACACTGTTCTCTGGACAGCAGGATTCTGTCTTTATTTTCAAGCACTACTGGAAATTTGAACTTCTAACTTCTCAGTGTTATGGCGGGAGGGCGAATTAATTCATCAGGGCCGCTAGGGGGCGATCAATCACTGTGCGATCTGAAAATTCCTTTTCTCTGTGCTCAGAACGCTTGAAAATAGAAAGCAATCATTAAAAAAAAAACCCAAAACAACAACAACAACACAAAAAACACCTTCTTAACATTTGGGAGAAATTTTTTTAGCAAATAGCATTTCTGCATTCTCGTCAGACTCCTGCAGTCGTAGGGAGAGCCTTGGTTTCACTCCAGAAAAGCCCAATCCTTGTACCTGGAATGAATGAGGAAGATTCTGGAAAGGGAGGCACTTGGCGGCTTTGCAACCAGCCCTGCCCTGGGTGGGCGAGGTCATGAGGGAAGGCTTTCCCACCGAGACCCCAGGCACTGCAGGTCGCTGCAAAGTCAGCGGGGGGCCTGGGGGTGACGTTGGGGGAACCCCGGGGGAGCCCACGAGGGAGCCTTTGCAGAGGGAAAGCCACGAGGGACCAGGGTCTGGCCAAACCTACCATCCTCGAGAGTGGTGGTGATGATTTCCTGAGAAGAAGGCCCCGTGCCGGCCCGGTTGCAGGCCTGCACCACCAGGCCGTACTGGGTGAACTTATTCAGGTTGTCCAGGGTGTAGACCTCGCTGTCCCCGCTGGTGTCGACGCTGATAATGTTGAACTGGAAGTTACCCCCAGTGCTGTACTCTCGGTAACCTATTTGGTAGCCGCGGATAATCCCATTTTGCAAATGTTTCTTGGGAGCCTGAACAGGAGAGAAAAGAACACACTGAAGAAGTGTCGAGGTAGGACAAGAGCTAGATTGACGCCCACACCCACATTGGAAGGCAGGAATACACAGGAAAGAGAGATCACAGATGAGGAGACAGGTCAGAAGCATAAAGTACTGAGTACTATCTATGTAAACCTTAAATGCTGGAGCTAGGAGGGGTGCAAAATATTAACCAAAACACGCATCTTCATAAAAAATGAGTATTAAGCAAAAACAAGGGCATATTGAACCACTATTAAAGACTATGAAACTAGACATTGTCATGATGCTGGGCAGTAGTCCTGTAGCAGCCGTGAACCCACGTGCAAGGCTTGGTCTGTGCCAGGCACCCTTCCTTTACCCGTGAACGCAGCCAGCCCTCCCAACCCCTCTAAGCCAGGGTCACTACAACTGTCATTGGACATAAGAGGTCACCCGAGTATCCTGGCAGGAGGGGAATCTGAACCCGGGCGTCTGGCCCGGGAGCCTGCACTCTCATCCTGTCCTTCATGCTTCCTGGGTGACTAGTCTCATTGGCAAGAAAATGTCAACATACAGATCATGTTTGTGGCATTTCCGGGACACTTGGGATTGGGTGAGACTGACCCTCAGGCCTTCACCTAGCAAGACCTCTTGAGCTCACTGCTTTGTGCCAGGACTTGCTCCAGGCACCAGGGAACAAAATTGAGTTTGGGAACGTAAGAAAACAAAAGACCCCTGTCCTCATGAAGCTTACCTTCTAAGGAAATGTCCCAGAATAACGGTGTTTCCAGGGTGAAAATTGGTGTGTGAAGGTGAGTGCACACCTATAGGAAGGTAACCTTTCATGAAGCCCTGAGTCATTCTGAGATCATTTGGGGGTTATTAAATAGGGGGTGGGAGAGAGGCTGGTGCTAACTCCACTCTGTTGATGTGAAAATGGTCCACTGGGTCAAAGCTGATGTGTAGGACTTATTCAGCCTGTAATCCCAGAACTTTGGGAGGCCAAGAAAGGTAGATCATCTGAGGTTGGGAGTTAGAGACCAGCCTGGCCAACATGATGAAACCCAATCTCTACTAAATACAAAAAATTAGCTGGGCATGGTGGCGCATGCCTGTAATCCCAGCTGCTTGGGAGGCTGAGGCAGAAGAATGGCTTGAACACGGGAGGCAGACATGCAGTGAGCCAAGATTGCACCATTGCACTCCAGAATAGGCAACAAGAGTGAAACTATCTCAAAAAAAAAAAAAAAAAAATTAAGGTGGCTCATGCCTGTAATCCCAGCACTTTGGGAGGCTGAGGTGGGCGGATCACTTGAGGTAAAGATCAGCCTGGCCAACATGGTGAAAGCCCGTCTCCACTAAAAATACAAAAATTAGTCAGGTGTGGTGGTGGGTGTCTGTAGTCCCAGCTACCTGGGAGGTTGAAAGGGAGAATCACCTGTACCGGTGACATGGAGTTTGCAGTGGGCTGAGATTGCTCCACCGCACTCCAGCCTGGGTGACAGAACAAGAATTCATCTTTAAAAAAAGAAAGTTCCATACAAATGCCACCAAGACGAGGCTCTAGGGAATAAAGATTTATAGACTTTCAGGCAGTCAACAGATATGTGGGTTTGTGTGTGTACATATATGTATACACACATGTATGTGTACATATGTATACAAGTACATATGTGTATATACATACAGACAGACAGACAGACACATACACATACATTTAAGTACAAACTATGGATCTAGGCCTCTCGGGGCTCTGAAGCTTTCTCCATCCTGAAAGTGCTTATAATCGTCCTGGAAAGAGGAAATAAGCACTTAGGAACCTGTAGAGAATTATGAGGTGTGGAAATGCACGGTAGGAAGGTGAAGGGCAGCAGGCATCCAGAAAATGCAAGTGTGGGTGCTCTGAAGTGGTGAAAAGAGACAGAGCCCCGGCAGGCTTGGCAGAGGGGGTGGGGTGAATGGCTCAGAGAAGTGGAAGGAGGATGGGTGGGTGGAGCTTGCAGAGGGTACGCACCTGCCCAGGTGAGGCAGGAGGGAACAGACAGGGTAGAGGGAGACCTTGAAAGCCTGCCAAATGTGACCGGGGAGGGCAGACAGTGAGAAGTCGGGACAAGGTTTTGAGCTGAAGAGCAGCACTGATGGATTCAGCAAACACTTCCGGATTGCCTAATAATAACGTCTCAGGGGATTCCATGCCCCAGGCTGTCATTAGTACCAAGTCTGACTTCTCCAGGAGTAGTAAAATCATTTTATTTTTCACAGCAATTTCTCCATTTACCGTTTTCTTGGATTCTGGTTGCCAATCTAATTTAGTATGTTCACGGTGCCAGCAGGTGTCAGTGAAACAGTCACATAAACCATTTATTTATTTGTATCTATTGGCTTGGAGTTAGATCCTGGTGTAGGAGCTCATACCTTTTTTTATTATAAACAAATGTCTATGCACCTCTGAATCCACAGATGTGTTGGCTTTTGCACTGATGGACTATAACTTTTTACACTATCCAGAAATAGATACCAAGATTCTATGTCTTGAAAATTCAATTACTGTACATGAAAATCGTTTTGCTGCAACCATTGAACTGAATTTATGTAACCTAATTAATTAATAAAGTTAATGTCCCTGCAAAAGTCATCTATAAGTCAAATTTACCAACAAAGAGATTTCCCCTATTTTACATAGTGTTTTAATGCTAGATATAGTGACCCGAATTAAATAGTATTTTTTAAAAATTAGGTTTACATCCATTAAATATTCTAATTGTTCAACGGGCTCCCTGTGAGGCTTTAAGTCTCCCTAGGATAGAAAGTTGGATTCACAGCGTGGGGGCTGTGTTGTCAGATCAAGAAGTATAGAGAGTGGAGTCAAACGCCTTGAGAAAATGTTTTCATAGAGCAACCAATTTACTTAAATCCTCTGCAGGAATGAAGGCACCGGCTTGCTGACATGTAGTGCCTCCATTTTGGTGGGATTAATCCTGCCTGTGATTTGTTTTCACAGGTAGGATGGAGAAATCTTTCCTTTTCTCCTTTCCATGGTGAAAACACATTCTAACTAGCTTAAGTATAATAGACAAATCAGGTTTTTTTTTTTTATTCTGTTTCATTTCAATAGAAAAAGAACATTCTTTACATTTTTCTTAGGAGAACTACATTTTAATCCTGCAAGTTCTAAAATAAAGCTTATTTTTTCTTAGCTGATACTTCTGCAAAATATTATGTGGAAGAATTATCTCCTTTTGTTTTATAACAAAACTAAACAACTACCATTTCTATGTAATGCAACTCTATCCACACTGTGATGCATTTAAGTCGATTTATCTAAGGTGAGGTGTGTTGCCCCACATAGCTGTGACTGCGTCCTGTACAATTTGGTGTCTGACTTTTTCTTTTTCATTTAATATGCTATTATAATTATATTCCCATCTTTACTTCATAGTCTTTAGATATCATATTCTGTCATATTGATGTTTATTTTTATTTAACCTTCTTTATATTGTTGAGATATTGTTGTTTCTGGATTTATTTACTACCAGAAATGCTGTGTAAAATACCTTCACAATGTAGTTTCTCTGTATCTAAGTTTATGGATTGAACTCAAGTCCCGGAAGTAGATGACTATCCTGTTTAAAGTCTATGTTTCAATTGGCTGTTAATGAGATAGAACTTTTTTGGTTATTATTCTTCTAGATGTGCAAGATATTAAGTTAAGGACCTATATTTATCACAAGGAACAAACAAGACAGCTCTCCTCTATTTTTTGTTGTTGTTGTTGTTAATCAATGAGAGCTTGTTATGTTGCTCAGGTTGGCCTTGAACTCATAGCCTCGCCTCCTCCAGTGCCAGGACAACTGGCCGGAGCCACCATGGCTCCCTCCTCTATTTTTCTTAATATCACAATTTTGAAATGAAATATATTGAGTAGAGTCATGAGTTATTCCACAGTAGCAGTGTTTTTACATCTGTGTCTTTTCAGATTGCTAATATGATCTACAGTTATCTTGCAGAATAAACTGTTGCACCCGAGGAAGAAGTGAGATGTGCTTCTTACAAAAGGAACATACGCTTTACATTTCACAGCTTGCAGGACCCCAAACCATAAGGTTTAAATACAGACTTAAAAGGTAGTGGGGGAGGATGGGAGCAGCTGCCAGTGGTTTTGAGCTTTGCCTGTGGGGTGATGAAAATGTTTATGATTATGGCGATGGTTGCACATCTCTGTAAACATATGAAATACCGCCGAATCATATACTTAAAATAGGGAATGCTGTGGCATGCTAACTGTATCTCAATAAAGCTGTTTTTTTAAAGAGATTGTGTGCTAAATCATCTCTGGGTTGTCTATTTCTGTTACAACCCTAGCTGCCACCCCATCATGATGACTTCCATCACCAATCAATGCCTACCACCTCTGCAGGTCACTGTCACCACTGCCACCACCAATGCCATGCCCTCAGGTCCCCCACACAGCCAAAGCCACCACCATCACCACCACATTCATCACCACCAGCTTCATCTCTGCCAACAATACTGTGAACACCACCACCACCGATAGCATTTCTACCACTAGCATCACCAACATTACCACCACCAGTATCAGCATTACTGCCATAACAATTACCTAATGTTAGAAGCCCCTCTATTACTTACACCAACTTTACCTCCACATTTATCAGGAACTTCACAAATAAACCACACTTCAACCTCCACTGCTTCCATCATCATCCTTGATGTTACCGATACCATCACTTTCAATAAAAACATGCTTCACTTCATCACTATCCCAACACAACATCACTTTCTCCACAACCACCCATCACCCAATCACTGTCCCAACACCAACATCACTGTTTCCAAAACCATCCATCTCCCCATCACTGTCCCAACACCAACATCACTGTCACCACAACCATCCATCACTCCATCACCATCGCAACGCCAACATCACTGTCACCAAAACCATCCATCACTCCAACACTATCCCAACACCAACATCACTGTCACCAAAACCA